ACAATACAAAGTTAGAGAAGATTCAGCGGTATACCACCAGATTAGTTCCGGAACTGAGAGGTATGATCTACGAGGAAAGGCTAAGGGAGCTGAACCTCACGTCCCTGGAAAATAGAAGAGTAAGGGGAGACATGATAACCACCTACAAAATTCTCAGGGAATTGACAGGGTGGACAAAGACAAACTCTTTAGCACGGGTGGAACACGAACAAGGGGACACAGGTGGAAACTTAGTACCCAGATGAGCCACAGAGACATTAGAAAGAACTTTTTTTAGTGTCAGAGTAGTTAACAAATGGAATGCATTAGGCAGCGATGTGGTGGAGGCTGACTCCATTCACAGTTTCAGATGTAGATATGATCTTCTTGAGGTTATCTTGAGTTGATTTCGGGGCTTATTAGTGTCCCCGCGGCCCGGTCCTCGACCACGCCTCCACCCCCAGGAAGCAGCCCGTGACAGTTGACTAACTCCCAGGTACCTATTTACTGCTAGGTAACAGGGGCATAGGGTGAAAGAAACTCTGCCCATCGTTTCTCGCCGGCACCCGGATCGAACCCGGGACCACAGGATCACATGCCCAGCGTGCTGTCAGCTCGGCCGGCCGGCCCCCCCGATACATGATAGAGCCCAGTAGGCTCAGGAATCTGTACACCAGCTGATTGACTGTTGAGATTCAGGACCAGTGAGTCAAAACTCAACCCCCGCAATCACAAATAGGTGAGTACACACACACACACACACACACACACACACACACACACACACACACACACACACACACACACACACACACACACACACACACACACACACACACACACACACAAACACACACGCACACACACACACAGTATACGGCTCCAGCATGGAGTTCATATCTAGTCAAGCATAAGACTAAACTGGAAAAGGTTCAAAGGTTTGCCACCAGACTGGTTCCCGAACTGAGGGGTATGAGCTACGAGGAGAGACTACGGGAATTAAACCTCACGTCACTGGGAGACAGAAGAGTTAGAGGGGACATGATCACCACATACAAGATTCTCAGAGGAATTGATAGGGTAGATAAAGACAGGCTATTTACCTTAAGGGGCACATGCACTAGGGAACACAGGTGGAAATTGAATGTCCAAATGAGCCATAGAGACGTTAGAAAGATTTTTTAGTGTCAGAGTAGTTGACAAATGGAATGCATTAGGAAGTGATGTGGTGGAGGCTGACTCCATACACAGTTTCAAGTGTACATATGATAGAGCCCAATAGGCTTAGGAACCTGTACATTAGTTGATTAGTTGAGAGGCGGGACCAAAGAGCCAGAGCTCAATCCCCGCAAGCACAATTAGGTGAGTACACACACACACACACACACACACACACACACACACACACACACACACACACACACACACACACACACACACACACACACACACACACACACACACGCGCGCGCGCGCGCTGGATCTGTTCAGGGGGCTGGCTGGCTGAGTGTACAGCGCTCTAGACTCGTGGACGTAGGGGACCGGAGTTCGATCCCGGCAGCCGGCGGAAAAACAAATTGGGCAGAGTTTCCTTCACCCTGATGCACTTGTTACCTAGCAGTAAATAGGTACCTGGGAGTTAGACAGCTGCTACGGGCTGCTTCCTGGGGATGTGTGTGTGTGTGGAGGAAAAATAACATTAGTTAGTAATTAGTAACAGTTGATTGACAGTTGAGAGGCGGGTCGAAAGAGCAGAACTCAACCCCCGCAAGCACAACTAGGTGAATACACACTCACACACACACACACACACACACACACACACACACACACACACACACACACACACACACACACACACACACACACACACACACACACACACACACACACACACACACACACACACACACACCGCCCGAGTCAGAAACAAATGAGCAGAGTTTACTTCACCCTGATACACCTGTTCACCTAGCAGTAAATAGATACCTGGGTGTTAGCTGCTACAGGCTGCTTCCTGTGTGTGTGTGTGTGTTAGAGAGAAATATATGTAGTAAACATAATAGAGGAAAATAGACTGGCTAGGAAGGCGGGGTCCAAGAGCTAATGGCTCGATTCGGTAGGCACAAATAATGAAGACACCCACTTACACACGGGGTCTCGGTAGTACATCCAGGTTCGTTCTCGACTCACTGTCGAGAATTCCCCGTTCGAATCCCGGACGGGACAGATATAGTTGGGCGCATTTCTTATCACCTAATGGATCTGTTCACCTAGCAGTACGTCGGTACCCAGGCGTTAGTCAGCGTATTGTGGGGGTTGCATCCTGGGGTAGGGGGGGGGGTCAGTAATTCCACCTTGGGGTAAACCTCGATATAAGCCTAACATGTAGAAATACACTCTGGCTGCCTGTCCCCGACACAATGAATTAATAATTATTATATATTTTATATAACACTCATACTCATACCCATGCTCTCAGGCACAGTAAACCGTTCACACAAATCGTTCACTGTGAGCCAGGAACCAAGGGTTAGAGCCTGACTGATAATATCACAGTGAGGGGTGACATGTACCAAGATCAGGATCAACATTGGATCAATTTTTACTATAAAAAAAATTGTGTCTTTAATTGTATTACAAAAAAATTTCTTTGTATGTTAAAAAAAAAATATTTTTCCGAAGTTGGAGGCCAGACTTTGGGCAAATGTACATCCTCTTTGGAAGGGAGAGGGTTATGGGAGTGCCATAGACAAGTCTGGGTTGGCCCCCAGTGCCATGCTTTAAGAAATATTGGCTTCCATAGCGACCCCTATGATTTATATTTAGTCTGAAATTGAGGAGTTGTTTTCCGTAGAGTGTTTTAAAAGT